TCCTTTGGTAATGCTTGTGAGCCTTGTTCTAGAACAGAAGATAAAGAGATTGTTAGTTGAAATGTTTTTTTTTTGTAGCATAGATTTAGCCTTAAACCTTGCATTAGAGGAAAACCTATATCCAAACCTTTTTTGGCGTTACTTCTTCTTTTGGGTCGCAGAGGAACATTTACTAATGTCCTCCTGTGAGCCAAAACTCAGTAAATAGCAGGCTATTGCCCCCTATATGCTGACAGCGCAGAGCCGCCGTAGCCGCATAGCCGCCGGCATTGGATACTATCCCTGTCCATCTCGTTCATTCCCCTTCGTTTTTTTTTTTACATCCTCGATATACCGCACGTATTGACTCCTTGGGTCCCCGAACGGTCCGGCGTTTGACATCGCCGCTTATCCATGCAGCCGCGGCTCAGCCTGGCCAGCTGGGACCGCGGTTTTCAAACGATCATCTATGACAGCTATCAGACTGTTCTCCAGCACCTCTAGACCAGCTGACACGCGATACGCTGACATCAGTAACGTGAGTGGGTTTCTACAGTAGTGGCGCTTTTTCAATTTGTGATTTTAGCTGCAGCCGGGAAGGATCCCAACAATATTGTCGGGATCCACCCTTCTGCCTGGTTGACAGTTGGTTCTGCCTCTCTAGAGCCAGCTGTGCCCGCTCCTACCCCTGTCTGTCCCTCTAGTTAGCGCTGGAGGAACACAGAGAGGGGAGGTAGGAATCCCTGCAGGCAGTGGTGACTGACGGTCACCGCACTCTTCAGGGAGAATATTATGAACCCCATAGTCAGAGCCGATGTGTGACACAGCAGCTGTCACACACTGGATCTATTGATCAAGAACTGAGCGTTCACTTACTGCTGATCGCTCAGTTATCAATCAATAGAGTCGATGTGTGACAGCTGCAGTGTTACACGTCGGCTCTAACTGTGGGGGTGAGTGCATTTCACTCTCCCCATAGTTCTCCTTTCACTTTCCTAAAAAAAGGTGGGGGGTAGTTAATAAATAAAAGGAATAAAGAAAAATAAACATTTCTACATACCAAGATAGCTCGGAGAGATATCTATAACATGCTCTGAAATCCCTTGCTGAAAATGATCACTATCTGCTCTTTGATAAGACGTGATGAGTCTAGGTAGGAACTAGAGTGTCAATGGGGTTTACAGAATATGCATGGTTAGGAGTTTCTGGCTGCACACTGATGTGCACTTAAGACAGAGCATGTCATAACCAGTCGCCCGGCTTCCTGATTGCCCGGTAAGCCAGCTCCATGCCAGCAGAAGCACACATATTGGTATATATTGTATATTGGTATGTTGGTAAAATATCAGGACTCGTACTCCCTAATAATGATCTTTATTTTAGCCAAGCGGCTGCTATTTTCAGGTCTCAGTAGACTCAGCCGTGTCATGTCAGTAGACTCAGCTGAAAGTAACTGTCACTTTACAGCCCGGCCTAACCCTTCCCTTAGCCTAGCCAAAGCAAATTTTTAAAAAGGCTGATCTATCATCTATTTGAACTACAAAACAATCCTACCTGGTTGTCCGTATGAAAGATCGACAAAGAATATGAGAATGAGCGCAATGATAACCGCACACTTTTTGTAGAAATCCATCATAAATAGATCGTTAGCAAAAAGCAACAACACAGATGCACAACAATACAGTAGTACAACTGCTCTGGTGTAAACAAGGCTGGAGCAGCACAATTTACGGGGTCATGTGACCTGCCTATGTCTAACGGCTCCCAAGCAACCCTTGATGTGCAAGTACTGTACATCAAAAAACTATCCCATATAAAATGGGGCTTTTAGAGCCCTACTGACACAATCTTAATTTAAAAAAATCTTTATTTTCATGTATATTAAGACGGAAGACTATATATCATTAAAATCTACCATACGTGTACATATATGTATAGGTACAAAATATGGCTCCGTTTTAATCAGAATACATTGAATACATTTGTAGCGGCATATTTGTGATTCCGACGTGTTTCGCAGAGTGCTTAATCGCCATACAGGAGGTGTATATATGGCGTCTATGGGAACCAGGAATCACCTAGTAGAGTCAGACGGGGCTGTTGGGGAGCCAGAGGACAGGTCCAATATTCCGGGGGTATCTTCACACATAAATGACTCTCCATGATTTGTGGGGAAGGTCCATGCGTGGAATCTAGAAGCACTCCCACCGTCGGTCCTGTTCACATTTGGGTCCCCTACAGATTATAATTCTATAATATTATATGCATTTTTCCATGACATATTTTCATCATGGAATTTCTCTAAAATCTATATAGGCTAAACATGGCATAGAAAACACATTGAGGGGAATGTATGAAAACTGGAGCAGCCAGAATCTGGAGCAGTTGCCCATGGCAACCTGTCAGCTTCTCTCTTTCATTTTCTTAAAGGAGAACTATGAGATGAGTGATTTCCACTCACCTCATAGTTCTAGCCGACCTGTGACAATGAGACTGTCACAGGTCGGCTCAGTAGATCGGGAGGTGAGCGAACACATACCAGGTTCGCTCATCTCTCGATCCTGTCACGGCTCTCTGCCGTGACAGGGGGAGGGCTGGATTCCCCTCTCCCCGCTCCGATCTGCCAGCGCTGACTGGCGAAACGGACGGGGGAGGGGGCGGGTACAGCTGGCTCTGCCTCTAGATAGGCAGAGCCAGCTGTCACTCACGCAGCTGGGCGGATCCCGTCATCTACGTCGGGATCCGCTCCGGCTGCGGCGTCTCAGTATACCGCGAGCTGTAGCTCGCGGTATACTGAGCTTAGGGTAACGGGAGGACGCTAGTTTGTGTCCTCCCGTTACCCTAAGGAGATCTATGGGGAAAAACACTGACCCCATAGTTCTCCTTTAAGCTTAAGTGTACAAACTAAAGAGAGAGGCTGATTGGTTGCCATGGGCAACTGTTCCATATTGTGTCTGTTCCAGTTTGGATAAAATCTCTCCCATTCTGTAGTTTGCAATAGTATTATATGACCATTTAGCAGCTGAGACTGGGACGTACTGTAACTGCCGGCAAGCTTGGCCTGTCACGGGGAGAGGAAAATAATGGATCTTTTGGCAGCTAATAAAACTGTTACGGGGAGGGGGTTGCACACAAACACTGCTGTGTGAATATAATGGACAGACTGCATCATTTATGTCATTTTATATTTCACCCATAGTTCTTTTTCTAAAAATGATCCTACATGATCTTCTATAGGAGGACACAACAGAAGTCAGAATAGAAACATAAAGGCAGACACGGAGCGACTAAGCGGAGGGGCTACATGACTGGGGGGAGGAATAGTCCCGGGAGAAAAGGTTAAAAATAAAATGGGAATAGCTGCTCTTACCTGATTGGACGTGGGAGTCAGGTGTCCAGGAGGAGCCGGAAGGAGCCGCATGGGAAGGAACTGCGAGGGCTGAGGGACGTCCTCTTCCTGGAAATCGACGAAGGAAGCAGGTTGTCCCACTCTCCCTCCCTGAATTTTGTGGTTATGGGGTTTGGGGGGGGTTTCTTTTGTCACGGCAGCTTGGCGGGTTAGGGGGGCTTTGGGGGGTCTACAAAATTGGAGTTGATTACAAAAATGGGGGGCCCTCAGCTGGTATGGGTGCTTCCCCCTGTTGGTGTCCGGATTTGTAAAGGGCGGGGTCTGGCCCCTTGGGGTCAACCATTGTTTACAGTATTATTTGTGTATATTATTTGGTTTATTACTTTTGGTTATTATTAAAGTTGTTTGTTTAATAAAAGGGCTGCTGTGGCCGTTAAAATCCATGTCGCGCAGTCCGTGTGTTTATTGGGGTTTTTAACGGAGGGACAAAAAATTGACGAATCCATCAGTCATGGCACATTTTTCATATGGAGCACTAGCTGATTGGCTGCAAACACCGTTCAGCCAAAGATTAGATTCGATTAGGATTTTGGGACTTTGTCAGAAAGCATGACATATTGTCCCTTCAGACTCCTTGCTTCTCCAGCAAAGATTGGAGAATGATGATTATACAAATGTAACATTGGCAGAGTTTTGTACCAAAACATGCATGTTTTTTATTACTTTTCCATACTGAGGATTCAATTGGGGGAATGTATCATAGCAATTGCAAGTGTTTTAACTCACATATGGTCACATGGGATATATTTTCTCCAGATTTATGTTGCTAGTGTAATGTCGTTCATAAATTAGATTAAATAGACTCCAGGAAAGAAGACTTGTAACTCCAGGCAAAAAGCTTACCTGTCGCTTCCTAAAGAAGTGGTCATGTGTACTTAGCTGAATATGCTCTGACCGAAGGCAGCCGATGTACGGCTGATTTTAGCTGATGTACGCCTGAAATCAGCCGCACAAGGCTGAAGTGAATAGCCGAACAGCCGAACTGGACAGTGAGCTGAATTGGAGAATTTTTCCAAATCAGCTATTTTGCCCTAGATTGTTCACTTCTCCGGCCTTCTCCAAACTCTTCAACCCTTAGTGAAAAACCCTGTAAGACTAAAATGAAATATGGCATCAAAATGAACACTGTCTTGGAGGATGTTTTATGTGAGTGCCTCTGTTTTTTTTTCATTGTGTCCATTTAGGGACAATATATAGTATATTATTGGTCTTTCAATTGTATGCCCCGTATATAACAATTCATCCGAATAGCACCCACCAGGGGTTTAGTGTATGTTTAAAAATATAGGGTGGGCAGCTCTGGCTGGTACAATTATGCATAGGGAAGAATTCGAAGGTGGCTTGGGGGAACCTAACTTGGGCTGTTAGGCAGGAATATAAAGCATGTACAGCCATGACTTATGAGTCTCTAAATCCAAGTAGGAATTGGGTATGTGGTTGTTTACCTTTCATTTGAGATTCACCCTGTTACCTTGTCCAAAGATAAAGAAACCATTCTACATATATTTCTGGATCTACTCATCATTTTGACAAGTGGTTCACACTGAAAGTAGCTACTGCTTCTGCATTCTTCTCTTTAAGTGCTACTACATTTTCAATAAATATAGTTGTGTTAACGTGTATCTTCTTTTAGATATGTCCACAGGTCGTTGATGCAGTTACTCGTCAGCTGGAGCCTGTTTTGCATAGCCTTCCAAGTAGGTAGACGGTCATGTGTACTCACTGTTATGAAAGTGTATGTAAGGCAAAATAAGACGTACAGTAGTACTGCAAGTACAGAAATCCAGTGAACTCTTAACTTCCTGTTTGGGCTGACAGCATTTTGTCTTTTGTTGCAAAATATCCCAAACGCTGTTGTCATCCCTGACTGCTGGACTACAAAGATCCATTTATCCTCTACCACTCTTTCCTTCTCCACATACATATATTAATTCCTCTCCCACAAAAACAATGCTGCTGATTTGACATCCCTTTCAAGAAAAGGAGGGAAAGAAAAGGGGCTCTTGGTAGATGTCGTTCTGAGGGCCTGCATCAGTAGGAACTGACCTCCCATCTGCCCCTGCAAGGATTTTGCAAACCTGGTGTTGACATGTATGGGAAGTAATCAGA